TTTTTATATATTGGGAACAATACTGGGGAAAAATGTATGACAAAGTGCAAAAAGTTTTGTGTGATGTGTTTCGTCCTTGAGGACTTCATCAGACTAAATTTGGTATTTTGCAACCATATACGTACAAAAGAGGAATGCTGGGAATTTTTAATTTTTTTTAAAATCTAGGTGATTTCATTTAGATTCTTAAATCTAGATGGAAACAAAAAGAGAAAGAAAATAAATCTAAATGAAATTAGCTAGATTTAAATAAAAAAATAAAATTCCCAGCATCCCTCATTCATGTGCATATGTAATTTCACCAACATAGAAAATTTAGTCCACTGAAATACTAAAGGCTGAAACATGTCAAAGAAAACCTTTTTCCACTTTGTCATACATATTTCCCCATATATATATATATATGTGTGTGTGTATATTTAAGCAGCATATTTTCATTCAAACAAGTTTGGTTAAATAATTTAGACATATGCCAATTTATTTTGGTTGTGATCCTTTCAAGTTCACAAATTCATTTCTTGGTAGCCTTAGAAAACTGATTATGAAAAATACCCAAATTTTCTTTCAAATAATTTTTATTTTCCTAAGTACCTCATCTGAGACCATCTTCAGTGGGGGTTAAATTGTCTGTGAATGTGTACATGTATTTCTGTAAATTCAAAACATTTCGAACTGCTTATTTTACTGCGTTATGCAGTGTTTTAAAAATTAAAAATTCAAATTTTTTTTCCATAGTATAAGGGAGGTAAGTTTTTCATTTTATTTATTTATTTATTTATCTATTATTATTATTCTTATATATATATATATATATATATATATATATATATATATGTATAAATTTTTTGCTACTACAAACATTTAAGAACTTTGTTGCTATACTCATAGCTGACTTTATTTATTTTGGGTTTTAATTCTCTTATATAAAGAGCTTCTACGATTTTTAGTTTTTGATTATTATTATTATTTTTAATGTAATATAGATGTATTTTTAATTAATATTTGTCTAAACTGTGAGTGTGGGCATGAGTTTTCCTTTAAATGCTGTGAGATTCAACTGTGCTTATCCATATATATACATAAACATATTGATCTCAGGAAAAACTATGTTCATTTAAAACAGATCTTTTTGCATTGTTAATTGGTAATTTGTCACAAATCCTTACAGCAAACATCAAAGCAGTGAAAATCATATTAGCTATTTCTGCTTGTTGCAGATGTAATCTTGGCCTGTAAACAAATGATTACCTAGCACAGTTTGTTATTCTAAATCTGTTTAGATTACAATATTTTAGCAAAGGTGATTCAATATTACAAACTCTTTTGAGTAGACACCTGTTGGTACTGAGTAACATTGTATTTTTGTGCTCTTCAAAGAATGAGGAAAAAAAGAACTCTTACAGATGATGAAAAAAAAGCAATCATTTCAAAATGATTATATTTTATCACTTGATAGATCTTTTCTCCTTATCTTTAGAAAAAGAAAATTAGAAAAGAATTAGTGGAAAATATTCAAAAGAAGCTGAAAATGTTCTTTATTTTTAGTTCCTTATGGCTAGATTCTGAACAGTAAATAACAGGTTCCATTTTTACTTTGCTTTACCCTGCAATACCAAAATCAAAAGGTGTGTTTGGGATAGTGAAAGATGCCTTCCAAAACCTAAGTGAAATAATAAGAAACAGAAAAATTTTGTTAGTAACAAAGGAAAGAGTACTAGATTGTCATGTAATATAGGTCTTCTTATATGGAAGTGAATACTGGACAATCACTTCACAGATGAAGAAGAAACTTGAGGTAATAGAAATATGGTTCTACAGAAGGATGCTAAGAATATGATGGACTGAACAAGTGAGCAATGATAGAGAAAATGGAAACAAAAAGGACACAGCACCAGAAAGAGTTTCTAGGGGATATAAGGAGGAAAGAGGGCTTTGACTGAAGGCAAGGCCGGGGAAAAGGAAAACAGTGTATAACATACCTAATGAGATTGTGTAATTGGATGACAGAATAGGGTTTAGGAATTAACAAAAAAAGTGTCAATCATTATCTACAAGTGCCAATCATTATCTACAAGTGTCAAACATTATCTACAAGTGCCAATCATTATCTATAAGTGCCAATCATTATCTACAAGTGTCAATCATTATCTACAAGTGTCAATCATTATCTACAGTCTTCCTGAGTTCTATTGTTCTTACTCCTTCATGATGTTTTCTGTTTTCTCATTCTTTCAAACCCAGTAACCCCGAGTGTCTTAGTGGCTTTAGTACCTTCTTTGGGATAAATTCAATAAATCATTATTTGGGGTAACTGTGCCTGGTTGTTGCTCATACCATCTCTTAGTGGTTTATTATTATTATTATTATCATTATGTTTTCTCATTAATCTTGTAGACCCCAACATTGGCAAAGTCTGGATAGTTTCAGTTCTTTCTTTGATTTCCAATCATCCAATCTTGATTCTAATGTATTTTGACAATTATAGGCAGGACCATCACTTTTATGTTTCATAGAGATGTGGTTCTACAGAAGGATGCTAAGGATATCATGAACCGAGCATGTGAGCAATGATGAGGTCTTAGAGAGAATGCAAACAAGGAGGAGGCATATACTTAATATCAGGAAGAGGCAGCTGAAATTTCTGGGACACATGAGGAAGGAAGGCTTGGAGAATCTTATACTCACTGGTCAAATAGAGGAAAGAGAGACAAGGGAAAACAATGCATGACATACCTGGCAGACTTAAGCAAGTGGATGACAGAACATGGTCTGGGGGGAAGCAGAAGGAAGGAAGGAACTTGTTGAGACCTGCAAGGGATAGAGGGAGGTGGAGAGCTATGATAGCCTACATCCTGAAAGGACATGAAACTTAAAAAGAAAGAATTTCACATGCAAGGTTGTGGTAAGATCATATGAAATAATTTGAGCAGAAATGAACAAATGAAATTTTTCTTGTGTAGAATTGACGAATACTTCTCAACATGAATTCTGTAAATTATAATCATCATTTTGGCTTTTTCTTGCTTCATCTTTTGTTAATCATAAAAGAATTTATTATACTTTCACTTGGAGACTGTCTGAGCAGACTTGGTAATCCAGTCTGAAGATATTTCTAACTGCACCCTGCCTGCAAAGCTATGCACTACATTAACTACATTATGCATATGAGTGTCATGATGGCTATATTTGGCTTTATATATTTGTACTCCAGCAACACTTTGTTGGTGTGTCACTTTCTCACAATAATAATAATAACAAAAAAATTGCCTCCTTATTGATATGGCAGTCCCTGCAGACTACAATGTATCTTTGAAGATTTTCAAAAAAGCTTGCAAAATACAAGGACCTTGAAATTGAAATCTCAAAAATGTGGCACATGGGAACATCAGTAATTCCTGTTGTAGATGGAGCCCTCGGATTGGTTGGAAAAGATTCCAGTAGACTCATTGAAGGGATTTCTGGAAGCCTATGCCTTAAAGAAATATAAAAAATTGTTCTTACAAGTACAACCCACACCTTAAAAAGGGGTTTATTTATGTAAAATATGTGTGCGTGTGTTTTTGTTTTAATTGATCAGTGCAGAATGTCATGATGCCATTTCTAACCTTAGGTCTCTGGTTGGGACCCAGAAAGAAATGTCTACACACCAGAAACCAAAGGAAATGAAATAATAATAATAATAATGATGATGATAATAATAATAATGAGGTGCCTCATTTTTCCTCATCAGACTGGGTATCATGATGGGTATATTGCACTTTGTATTTACATCTTTTAGTAATTTTATGCTAATACAAGGTTCAATAGCCACTCAAGTTAAAGGGCTGCTGAGTCAAGCAGGTGAATTTCTTGTCTTTTATGATAATATCAGGTCTGTTGGCTTTTATTTCACTGACAGTTTGAATTGGCATGTCCCAGAGGATAGTTACATCATTATTTTGGGTAACTGTGTCTGGTTGGTGCTCATACCATCTCTTAGTGGTTTTTATTATTATTATTATCATTATGTTTTCTCATTAATCTTGTAGACCCCAATATTGGCAAAGTCTGGATAGACACAACCATTTATTCTTTTCTTAATAGTAAGTCTGAGTTGGTCGATAAGATCAAATTGGCAGCTGATCTAAAAAATGATCTACATTGTTAACTATGGCAAGGAATGGCTTGTTAGTTTTAATGCATCCAAAATGAAACTGCACTCTTTTAATCAGCTGACGGAATCCTTTTTAACTTCCATCATCATAGCTGATGCTAACGTCCAGAGTGTGACTCATTGCACCTTCTTGGACTCATGTTTTTTTCCGCTGACATGGAGTGGAAAGATTATACTGAATCAATTGTTAGGTCTACTGCTAGGAAAGTTGGTTCTCTGAATTATCCTAGACAGTTTTCATTGCCAGAACCTATCTTATATATTTATAAGTCAACCATTTGTCCTTGCTTTGGATATTGCTGCCACATCTGGTCTGATTCTCCTACTACATATTTAGAGATTCTTGATAAAATCCAAAAAAGAATCTGTAATGTTATTAGTCTTGACCTGGCATCTTAGCTTCAGTCACTTGTCAATTGTTATACATTACATCACCCACATATTCAAAGTTATAACACCTGGGTCTATATTTCTGAGATGAAGTATTGCAATGAGCTGTTGTCCTCATCTTTATTGTCATATTCACAATGTTTCAACCATTGTATGCACCAGCCTTCTTCAGGTAATATACATTGGAATTTCAAAGTAAACACTTTATTTCATCCATTGTGAGTAGATTGTTCTAGTTCCATGTGCTATGCCTTTTCTGGATATCTCAGCTTCAGTTATTTCCCTTTAATAACTTAACTATCCAAGTTTTGTTCCCCTCTGCTGTGGCCAGATATTGAACTCACAACACTTTGGGTCAAGTCACTTTTGGATTATTTCAACCAACACTTTTATCCACTGGGCCATGTATGACAATAAAGATGAGGACAACAGTTCAAACAGTGTAAATAGTTATAATACCTCATGTTCTTAAGTGATCACCCATCTTGGTACTGACCAGGCTTAACATTGCTTAACTTTGGTGATCATATGAGAACAGGTGTTTCAACATGATAACCTTGGTATGATAGTGGGGCTTTCATATCCCAGCAACTCAAAGAGAGAGCTATATCATCAGGAGTATTACTCCCAGCAGATTTAATCAAGCCCAGCAGGTCAGAGGGCAAGGATCAGATTAAATGCGAATTACAAGAAGCCATGCTATACAGCATGTGGTTGATCAGATTTGACAGAGGAGTCAATCTCATTCTCAGTCTATGCCCAAGAGTGTATCACATGCAATGCTGGAAATGCTAGGATCCTCTCGTTCCTGAATTGAGTTACTGCTACAACTATAACATTGACAAACATAGTTGGATTTGCCACTGAATGATTTATTACACCTTAGTGACTTTCTCAATAACAAGACACTCATTCCACATTGCTCAGGCATAACAGTACTGGGCATCCTTCAAAGACGTATATTGACCAATTCACACAAGATGCTGGATGTAATATGGATGAACTATCCTTGTCTGAATTTCAAAAGAAGGTTTGAAAGACAACCTATTGAACCATTCCTACATAGTGTTCCCGTCTATGATAAATGAATGGTTTGGGTCTGGGTGAGAAAGAATATGTAAGTTATTTCTATAAGATACCAGCAATGATACTTGGTATTGCCCAGGTCAATCTTTTTTTGTTCTGCTGCAATATGAAGTCCTTACTTTGAGAGATTTTCACAGGCTCCAAAATTATTCTTCTTTCATGCACCTTTTGCAAGGGCACTTATGTGAAAGCGAATGCAGCAGACTAAGCAGAAATTTGAACTCAGCTCATGGATTCTCTTTTTCACACAATAACTACTATGTCACTTGCAGTCCTTCCTTTTTCTTTCTTCTTATTTCTATAAAATACAAGCAATTATATCTGTCAAGTCCTTTTTCTTATTCAAGGCCAGAAAATAACTTTAGATTGTAAAAATATTTTGGAGAGAACAATGACTTACTGATACAAGTTCTGCTAATTAATCCATAGCTGGGGAGAGAAGAGGTAGATTCATGCCTTTCCCAAGTCTATTTGTGTGTAAATAAATATAATGAACCTGATTGGCTCACTAATTTCCAATTCTATGCTGATATCAATAACGCCAAGCTTACAGCACCTGATATAACTAAGTCGTCACCCATCCAGTTTCTGACCAGGCTGACCATTGCTTAACTTCAGTGATTGTACTAGTGTTTCAATGCAAGCCAGTTACAAGTGGGGTCTGGGTACCCTAAATTTTCTTGTCTCTTAACTCTTTGAGCCCGGTGGTAGAGAAAAATGATGCAATGCCCAGTCACCGGTTGAACAGTGGAGGAGGAAAATGACTTAATGTCCAGCCACCGGCTGAACGGTGGGTAAACACTTGTAACTATTTTTATATCTACCGTGAAACATTACATACTAATTATTTGTGAATTTTGACTCCAGAGCTCAGGCAGAAAGGTTAAAATTGTTCAAGAATGCCGAGCTGAAAGGGTTAATACTTTGTTTAGCTTTTGGAATGCATCTTTGGCTATCCCAACGCATCTTTATATTATCAGTATCACACTTTCCATCCTCTGTTAAAATTCATCTCAAATATTTAAATCAGTCCTCCTATATGGTAGTGAATGCTGAAAAATCTCCTTGCATATGAAGAAGAGTCATGAAGCAACAGAAATTTTGTTCTATAAAATGTTGAGAATACCATGGACTGAACATGTGAGCAACGATGAAGTTTTAGAGAAAATAGAAACAGAAAGGATATTTATGCTTAACATCAGAAAGAAAGAGTTGAAATTCTGAGGACAAATAATGAGGTAAGAAGGTTTGGAAAATTTGATACTCCAAGGACATATAAAGAAAAATGATGTATAACCTACATAACGAGTTTGAGTAAATGGATGGAGGAACACAGTTTAGGAGAGATAACAAAAAGAAAAAATTTATTAAGAGTTAAAAAGGACAGGAAATTGTGGAGAGCCATGATTGCCTATGTCCTGGAGTGACATGTCACATAGAAGTAGAAGAGCAATAAAAAATGCTGTGTACAACTATAAAGCTGGTCTTATAAATTGTATACCTGTTGATGTAACTACTTCTATTTGGTTAGAATGACTTGCAGTGTTAATTTAAAAGCAAGCTATCAGTAGCCACCCAGCATATGCAATCAAGGATGTATGTTTTGTTTTTGTGACTGATGCCCTTATGTTTACTTCCTATTAAACGTCCAAAGATATGCAAACCCAGGGTTTATAATGGCTTCTAAAATTGTCTAAAGGATAAGATGATGCATCGTGCAAACTGAAAACAGAACGTTTCGCAGCTTTTATGCAGAGGAAAGTGAGGATTGCATTATACATAACAATGAGATATGTTCTTATTTTTTACTTACAAAAACAGGGGATTGCATTATGCAGAAGATAGCACTGTACAGTAATAAATATGGCAATAAAATATCTTGTGAAACTATTATTCATATTTATTATCCTTGTTGTTCATATGAAGGTACAGAAAATATTCCATTGCAGATCATGAAAAGATATCACTTACACATATATCTAAACAATACACAAGAAAACTGAGGACCTTAGGTCACAAGGTTCCCACTTCACATTAAATTTTGGAAGTTTCATTGACAATAAAAAATGACAGTGATGAAGAAAACCTTAGTGTAGTTTGGCATGACACAACAAGTGGGTTTAATTGATTGATTCATTTGTTATGGTTATCAACCTTTTGCAGGTTATTTAAAGCCTGAAAATAATTTTAGATTGTCAAAATATTTTGGAGATATTATTGATTTACTGATACAGGTCTTGCTAGTTAACCCATAGCTAGGGAGAGAAAAAGTGGATTCATACCTTTCGCAAGGGAATTTGTGCATAAGTAAATAAAAAGAACTTAATTGGTTTTCTAATTTACAATTCCAATCTGTTATCGATAACATCAGCAACACATCCAAGCTTACGGCACCTGGAATTCATAAACAGTAACCCATCAAGGTACTGACCATTACTTAACTTCAGTGATTGTATGAGAATCGGTGTTTCAGTGTAATATGGCCATAAGTATAGGGGGATGGGTGTACACTATGAGGATTAAAGTAAATACTGTAGCAATGTTCTGTGAGAAGCTTGCTAACCATTCCTACATAGTGCTTCTATTCATGATGAATTAATGGTGTGAGGCTGGGTGAGAAAGAATATGTAAGTTATTTCTATAAGATACCAGCAATGATACCTGGAATTGCCCAGGCCAAGTCCTTTTTCTTTTGCTCTGTTGTGATATGAAGTGATTTCTTTGAGAAAGTGGACAGACCCCAAAATTTTCCTTCTTTCATGTGTGCTGTCTCCACATGTTTCTGTCTCTTGTAGATCTTAATAAGTTTTGTCTTTTTGTTATTTCTCCCAAACATTGTTCTACCATCCATCAAGTATATTACATGCTGCTTTCCTCTGTTCCTGTTTCCCTCGATTTGTCCTGTGAGTATCAGATTTTCCAAACCTTACTTGCTCATCATGTGCCCCAGAAATTTCATCTACTTCTTCCTGATTTGAGTATAAGTTTCCTTTTCATTTCCATTTTCTCCAAAACCTTGTTGTTGCTCACATGTTTGGTTGACAGGTATCCTCAACATCTTTCTGTAGAAACATAGTCCCGTTGCTTAAAGTCTATTCTTCATTTTTGAGGGGATTATCCAGCATTCCCTATAGTAATCCTAAAAGTGTTGCAATCTATTAATAATCTTAGAGAACTGTTTTTTGCCTTCCATCAGCATGGATGATACTAACCTCAAGGAAAGTAAGGCATTGCTCCTTCTTGTGCTAATGTTTTCCATTCTGAATCAATTACTAAGTCTACTGTTAGGAAGGTTGGTTTGCACATCAAATAACTCTACCTTTCATTTGTGTATCAAATATTAGCTGCATCAAATACATCTGGTCTGGTATATAAATCTAGAGATTCTTAACAAAAACCAATGAAGAATCTGCAATGTTATCGGTCCTGGCTTGGCATCTCAGTTTCAGTCACTTTCACACAGATTTAACATAACTTTCCTTTTCTATAATTATTTTAATGTCATTTTCATTGATAAATTGACTATGTTGAGATTTGAACCCAGGTCTCATGGTTGGAATGTTAATGTTTTAACCACTCAGACACATCATTACTGCAATAAAATATACTGGATCATGTACCTGCATCATTTCTTGTTGAAATGTTATATTGATTATTTAGTCTTTTTCTTATTGGTCAGCACATGCCATTTGACCCCATCCAGTTTGGCAGCCAAACAAATAAATGGTTCCTATTTATTTTGCTGGTTTGAATAAAAATGGCAAAAGAAAAAATAGCTTCGTTAAATTCAGGAAAAAATCCAAGATGTCATACAACTAAGAAGACTGTGAGTATATGGGTAGGTATGTTTGTGTATCTGCCTGTTTCACTGTTTGTATCTGTGTGTACATGTCTATGGCATGTACCTGTGTGTATGTATGTCTATACTTTGATGTGTGTAGTTGCATATATTTATGTGTATATATGTATATGTATATATATATATATATATATATATATATATATATATACAGGCATGTCTATATGCATGCATATAAATGTATATATATATATATATATATATATATATATATATATATAATTTTTTTTTTTTTTTTTTTTTAAAAAGTTACTGAATTCATTCGTATACACCAATTATATACTTGTATATATATATATATATATATATATATATATATATATATATAAACACACATACAATTCATACATATACACACATCCATATATCTGTATATATATATATATATATATGTGTGTGTGTGTGTGTCCATAAAAACACACACATATATATGTGTGTATGTGTGTATATGTGTATCTCAGACTCTTTGACTTGCAATAATCTTTTGCTATATTGTTTTCCTTGGGGTGAAATGAATATATATATATATATATATATATATATATATATATATATATATATGAAAAAAGATTGTATTTTGCCAAAACATATATGAATAAAAAC